CTGGTTCAAAATGGTTTCCACAAGACATGCCTTCGGAAGCCAAGCGTTGTGGAGTCATCCTTCAGGCGAGACGGATACGCTTTCGAATTGACACAGCAGTCATCGACAGCAAGATATGGGTAGGCCAAGCTTGCTGCCGCGAATATGCTGGTGTTGGCAGTGTTGCAAGAGGAAAGGGTCAGTGCGCCACATGGACAAGGCGCATGGACTGAGTTTCTTGCGCAGATGAAGGTGGGCCACGCAGGAAGGAAAAAGCACCAATGTGAACGCGCCACGTAACGGCACCTAGCAGAGCCACACCTTACCCAACATTTTAATATGCACGCATCACCGTTCGCATCAGCCTGGGGCGACAAAATCGTCGACAGAAGATCTTTCCGCCTGTCAGAGACTGTCGATCATCAGCAAGCAAACAGATGCAATATGGAACTGAGCACCACGCACATAGCCAGCGTCCCTATATTCCCTTGTACAAAAATGCACGCTTCTCAGCCTGGGGCGACAATATCGTCGACAGAAAAGTTTTCCGCCTGTCAGAGATTGTCAATCATCATGGAGCATGCAAGAGACACCGAATTCCTGCTCAGCATAACGGGAGCTGTGCAAATTCCACATAAGGCGAAAATATTTAAAGAGTTAAATGTTGGGAAAAAAAAAGTTTGTCAGTCGACTTCTATTGCTTCTACTTGCTTTTGTTCTTCTGCAAGTGCGAGCAGTGCACGCTGCTGCTGCTCCAATAACAATGCGGGCTGCTGCGCCGCTAGCTCCCTACGGATTTCAGGCCCAACTTTATCGTGGAAATAGACCTTTAGGACCTCCTTGAGCTTCGCTCTATGAGACGCTGTCAGGTTGACTGTGCGCATACCACGCCAAAAACACACGGTCACGAAGGAAGGCTCACACGGAGCTCCAACCAAAACAGACAGGACTACAAAAATGGAGGTTGTAAGCAGAGGGCAATATCCGAGGTGAGACTAACCTTTGTAGCGCTGTACTAATACCAAAAGGCACTTGTGCCAGGCCACCGTAACTTTCACATCACTCGAAAGAAACCGGTGGAAGTGGTTGACGCATTCATCAATTGCCTGAACAACAACAGCACGAAGCCAGTGGAAATGGGTGACTGCCTGCCCTTATGATTTACCAGCGGGAATAAGCGACCTTGCGTATCAGTTGCGGCAGAGGCCACAGATAGACGCTGCAATACAATGTTGCAAGGTGAAAAAAGATCTCCAGCAACCGGCAAACGCCGAGACCGAGTGTTCCTTGCAGCCATGTGCAGATCGGGCCAATTGTAGCCGCTGATTCTCGCTGTACACACCTGGATAGGCAAGGAGTACTTCTTGTCAATCAGAACCGTCATCATGAGGCTGACTGACGGAATCCACTGATTAGGCTCAACCGCAGCCAACCGGAACAGCGCCGCTGCTCCGTGCAGAACTGGAATGGAGACCTTGGCGACAACACTACCCACGATGATAGCTTCCCTTATGGTACATCCCTGCGAAAAACGCACCAAGGTTGCTCGCGGCACTACGATGTCCTCTCTACTGAAAGTCGACGAAGCGTCCGGCAATCGCTGGCGAAGCCTTTCTTACATTCAGAGCTAGCGGGAGGTAAATGCCCTTGAAGAAAGCTCCTGGCTTGAACAGCGACTTCTTGAGGGCCATGTACAGGTGGCAGTTGAGCTTTTTGTTTTCGGCAATATCGTCGCGCACTGCCGGAAGCAGCACTGTGCACAGGAATCTCTGGGCCATTGCTTCTCGCAGGTTGCTGCAAAAAATTCGCGTGGCTTCCCTTGTTGCTTGCTTTGACCACATGGGTGGGTTAGTCAGCACGAGAACCTCCTCCCAAGCATGTAATCGGGGTATGATTTTGAAGGCCTTCGGGACTTTTCCGCTTCTGTAGCGCGCAAGGAACGGTGCCATTGCCGTGTACACCTCGACGACTTTAGGCGACAAGCTGGACTCGGGCTCCTCTTGCTTGTCTGGCGCGCTCTCTGTCTGCTTGCGGAGTTGTTCCATCACGAGATCCGCCAAGTTGATTGTGCCTCGAGGGATCTCATCACCCTTCTGTTTGTAAAAGGCAACATCTTCTTCATCCTCTTCGCAATCCAGCACCACAAAGCCATCTTTGTCTGCCTCCTCCTCCAAACCAGACACATTCTCGTCTTCGTCTGATCCGTCCGCAATGCCTTCGCTGCACACGTACAAAGAAGAAACCCCATACCACCAGCTTGGTTCATCTCAGCAATGACGAAGAATGCATAATTTGCATTGCCCGTTTGTAACGACAAAAAACAACACCCTACTCACTCTTTCTGCTGTTCTTCAACGAGCTTCAGCAGTTTCTTGCCCAGCTTCGGCGGCAGCATTCCATCCTCCCCTGCCTCTTCTCGAGTCGTCGCCTCCACCGTTTCCGCATCTTCCACCGCTTCTCTTGTTTTCTTGTTGCGGAGTGCATTGATAGCGCCCCCCGGCAATGGAACGCCCTGCGCATCCAGGACGTCCTCGTGCAGCGGGTTGTGACGGTTGGCGCCCTTGCGCCGTTTGCGTTCAGCTTTAGGCCTGAGCGCCAATAAAATACGCATGCAGTACAGTAGAAGCACATGAGTTATGGGGGTTGTCTGGTATGCGTGGGGTTAATGCATCCAACGAAATCTTTGCAAAAAAAGGCTATGCAGCACACAGGCAGATGGAGGAATCCTCATGCTCACATATTACAGCGTCATGGGCTTCTGAGGAGACGTTCTGCGCCGATGTGAGGCATTTGACCGGCTTCAACTCTTTGCTTGGCCTGTCGACGCAGGGATTGGCCGCAGGGCGGCAACGCAAAAGGCCCCGAAAAGTCTAGCGCAAGCAGCAGTCTTCGAGCCGGTGGAATTGAAAAGACAAACTGAAACAAATGGTATTCGCTGGGGGCAGTGACGGGGAACTAAAGAAGCAGGAATTGCAGCCAGAAGCTCCCTGTGGGGACTGCCGCAGTCCCGAAGGCGAGCCGCCGCCCTGGCCGATTTGAAGCAAAAAGAGGAGTACAGCCCCAGAAGTTTACGTATATATTTGCTTTAAAAAAGGAACACAAATTTGACCTTTAGCGCTCACGGTGAAGATTGGACTCCCGAGACAATGGCAGCGGAAATGTGGGGAGAAGGCGCTGCTCTGCACCATGCAACGTAGCAGCCAGCCCCTACCGAGTTTTTTATGGGGCCGTTAGTTATCTTCAGACTGCTCGGAGTGAAGTCTCTCTTTTGCTGCATTTCTTCAGAGTTCGCCGACACCTTTACTCTTCTCTTCGATACCAAGGCGATCGAAAATGTCGGTCTCAACGGGAATCCGCGGTGCGTCCTGTTTCGGCTGCCACGACTGCTCCCTCAGCACCCCACCCTGAGAAGGCGCGGCGGTTTTTTGTTTCGGTCGAATCGCAATTCTTTTATTATTACAAATGGCTTTATTCACGGCAATTGCGCATTTGGCGTCGATCCCCTCCCACCGAGTTGTTTGGGTTTGATTTCTTGCATGTGCATGTACCGCACAACAGATAGCAGGCCCCGGGCTTGATCCTTTATAGTATGCTTTGTTATTCATGTGGAGACGTCTTGAACTGCCGTTTTTGGCGTTCGCTAGTGGCCTGATATGTTCTGGTGGACTTGTTTCCTCTTCGCCGTTGATGCGCGGGCAGATGACGCACAGTGTCTTACGGATCTCCGCAGTCGACTGCTTTATGTACTTCCTTTGACTTCATGTTTGGCGAGTTTTGGAGATGCGTGTCATATGGATCTCCACAACCGACCGCGTTTTTAGGTCATTTGGCTTCATGTTTGTCTTGCTTTGGAGCAACTTTGTTTGGTGTGATCTCGTTTTATTCCGTATTGAAGTCAAATGCGCAGTGCGGTTCTGTGTGCGCTATTTCCTTGCTGCTGCTGTTTTCAGTTGGCCTGAACAAGGGGTTCCTCGTGACGAAGCGGGAAACGCCTGCTCGTCCTTCTCGGAGAAAGGGGAAGAAGACGACTCGCGTTCAGGCGATTCGTGAGATAATCCGCCAAGTTGCAGGGTTCGCTCCATACGAGCGCCGCGTGTTGGATTTGATTAAGATCGGCACTGCAGCCACAACAAAGCGTGCTCTAAAGTTCGCTAAGAAGCGCCTCGGAACCCACAAGAGGGGAAAGGCAAAGCGAGAGGAACTCACAAACGTTGCCGCCGCTATGAAGAAGAAGGCCGCCGCATGATCCATCTGCATGCATGCACCTGAGAGGTCACGCTGCGGGGGTACTTAGGCGGCAGCCAAAGCCCAGCCTAATCCTCAACAGCGCAGTCAAGCTGCAGCTGCATTGGAGCTGCAAGGCTGGCGGGGGGAACAGCGGAAGAGACATAAAGGTGTTTTTGTTGAGGTTGGAGGAACTTCATCGGCTCAATGCAATGCGGGTTTTTGCTGCATCCTTTTACTCCTCGTAACAGCACAGGGACTCAGTGTAGGGTTAATATGGCGCAGCCTAGGTAGTACCAGGGACTGCTAGTAAAGGCTACCGAACCGCTTTCCCAACTTTAATCTCATTATTCCAATTGTTAGTCAAGTGGTTCAAAGGTCCTGCGCGACATTAGGTAGCTCTGCACTGTGCTGCTGTGGAGCAAAATGCATGTCTTTAAAGATGAGTGCACTGCACGGTTTATTAAGGAGGACAGCAAGCTAGTATAATGTACAGCGCGCTAAGCGGTCGTTTTTTTTGAGCAGCTGCAGACCTAGCAGTACTAGGCCAGGTAGCCTGATGTGCTGGAGTGGTGAACTTAGTGCTAATGTGTGTATCTTTCGCTTTTCTCAATTGACCGGGAAAGCCCATTGAACCGGCGGTGGGGCGGGGATGGGGCTAAATAGGTCTCTTTAACATTCACAAAGGCCGTTTAGTGTCGCCACAGGCACGCAATATTTGCCCTTGGCTACGGGAGAATCCGTCCTAGAAGTTCATTTCGTACGCAGTTGCAAGGGGTACAGCAGACGCCTGCTGAATATTGCAAGAAAATGTAAATATATGCATACCTATCGTTGTCATGTGCGTTTATAAGCATTAAAGTGCTAGCGTCAATACTCCTAGAGCCTTGACGCCCCCACGTGTTTCCGCGTATGCTACAAGACGAACGAACGTCTCTACCCTTGCTACATGCTGCGTTGATAGTAGGGACTCTACTATGGCTTTGTAGCGAGTTGTTTGGGTTTATTGTTCCCAAGCCTTTGCTCGCAGTTGCATTGCACTGCAAAAACTGCGAGCAAAGGAGAGGTGACCTCAGAAAAGTTCATCTGCTGTCGCTTCGAGGTGTGGGAAAACGGCGCAGACTGCACATCCGAGAGAGATTGAGGTACTACTTTTGTGTGGATTAGATGCAAGGAGCGAATGCTGCTGTTCTCACGGCGGAGATGGATGAAGACGCTAGAAAAAACCCTGCGTTGGGCGAGGTTCAGCAGTGGCTGCTGCTCGCGGCGGTATGGCGCACCCACGGGGGCTGGAAAGGAGAAAGGATGAAGTTTGTCTTCTTCTTGAAACGGTCTCTGTATGATGTGTTGGCCAGAAGATGCTCCTTGAGCTATGCAAGGGCCAGCAGCTCAGCTCCACACGCAGCCTGCTCATTGATTTCTGTGGCGCTAGGTGACCTGAATGCGCTGCATGCACGCCAGTATATCGGCTTGGCCGCAGGAAAATTCGTGTTAAAAATAAACAGCTTTGGAACATTTGTTTTCAAAATTAACATCTCGTTTCGAAAGTCTGATAAAGCGCCGGTGTGCCCATTCCATTTGTTTTCAACACCGTGGTGTTCCCCTGCAATTTTGCAAGCTGCACAGCTGCTGCTCAACTTCTTGGCGACTTCGTGACGTTCATGGCATGAAACCACTATTTTAGTGTACTATGTGGTGTCATGTGACCCCAAAAGTCTCGAAAACTCATTTTTTGGCTCCGCGAACGCATGCAATGTGGGCAGAACCGACCTGTCGTGGGCTTGTGCGGCCTTGCTGACCTGAAACTGTGGAGTTTTGGGAAAACACCAGATTATTTGTCTTTCTTTTGTCACTAGAGCATGCAACGGTAGTGATTCGATTAATTCAACGAGACTTTCCACCCGTAATGCAACAAGATGTCCCGCAAAAGCTTCCGCGCGACGCGACCTGGAGGCGCGGGCGACTGGGTGACGGAAATGATGCACGCCATTGTCAGCGACAGCGCACTGGAAGAGTTGGGTGTATCAGTAGAAGAAGCGGGAAAAGCAGTCTGCAAGAACATCTTTCCAGTTGTGAAAAAGCACATTGCTTTCATCGTGGAGAGTAACAACCCCAACTTCGAAGCCGCCCTGGTGGACGAAATCACGCAGGGAGAGGGGCCGATTTCATCCCTCGAGCTGTTGGAGAAAGTCAAAGAGGCAACACAAAGGATTAAAGAACTTGTGCGTCTCTCCCACTGGCACAGAAAATGGCATGACACGATTTCAGCGCTCATTTCCGCTGGTGCCCCAACTTACCATCACTGCCCATTTTAGGGGCATGGGGTACTATATTACATTTGAATCAAATAGCTCAAGTATTCTAAAATTGTAGTGAACGATGATTCGTCCTTCGCCTTTAGCGTGAGGTACCTGAAGCAGGAAACACGTGCACTGTGGCCTCTCCCTGCACGTCATAAATAGTCAGGGTTCTTTAGTGCACTGCACACGTTGACGTATTTCAGCCTTTTCATAGGAGCAAGCAAATGTATTCAGCAATAAATATGATCACTGGAGAAGTTTGCGACTCACCTGGCCTACAACGTCTGCAGTTGTCTGTCGTTTTGGAAGTGCAGACGGATATAGTTGACAGTCAGTCTGAGAAAATGCGCGAGTTGGAAACAAACCTTGCCCAGGCAAATGAGTTTCTCGAAAAGGTGGAAAACGTCAAAGAAGATGCGCTGTCGGCTGCTGAGAAGAGCAAGGAGTTTGTACGTTAAGGAACCCTTCCTTGCAGAAGCCGCACTTCCTGCAGGGGGCTGCAGACAAAGGTAACCAATTCAAAGGCCTCTGTGGTGTCTGCCTATCGACTATCAGGCCAAGAAAGAAGAAGAAAAGTTCCCCAAGACCAACAAGGAGTTTTTAGACCAGTTGCGTTCAGAAGTACGAGACGAAGTCGCCCTTGAGTTGGCGGAACAGATGACGGCGGCCACTGCGGCCTCATCTGTAGAAACAGCTGAAAAGGAAATCCAAACAGACCCCATTTCGTTAGGTCCCCCTGAGCAGACACAGGAGGCGGTACCTGTGGCTCCGCCCCCTCCCACAGCGCCTGCGGTACCCCACGAGACAAGTGCTGCACATCAGGAGCTGACAGACGCAGACCATGAACTCCTTCGCACTTGCCTTGAGGAAATACGTAACCTGACCTCTCTTCTTTCGAATCATGCTGGCATCCCCACTGTTGTTCAGCACAAAGATGTGAGAAATTCTGTATTGTCTGCAATTCCTAGTTCACAGATGAATGCCTTCACCTGCGGGGTCTGTCACAACCGCACTACCAGTTGCTGTTCCTAAGAAAGGACATTTTGCGCAAGCACTGGCGTTGGCGCAAGCGCTGACCCAGACAGGCAAAAGCGGAACACACTCTCCAAACAAAGTCCACGTGCAAGGAAACCGCATGCAAGACAAGTGGTTCCAAGCGCCAGAGAGTCGTTTTCTGTTCGTGCTGCTGTTATTTGTTTTTTCAGGTTGTTGAGAACCGTCGGCGAGTCTCGATGCGCAACACCTGCGTGGGCACTTCAGAGGGTGTTCTGGGTGGCCAGCAGGGCAATGTGTACGAGCACGTGCCTCTGACAACTTTGCATCTTAGCCCCATTTATCGCGCGCATCCTGAAAGAGCAGAACTCGGCAGCGCTCGCAGCATTCGCCTGTCTGCACCACTCTCGCCACACAGCCGCCTGCAGTTAGAGAGGTCTTCAGCGAATAACAGCCGAGCGAGAGGTGCCGACTTCGGCGCTGTTTGCCCACCCGCTGAAGCCACTCTCCCTCCAGCTGCTTCGGGAACCGCCAACAGACCCTCTGTGGTTGTTGAGACAGCCACACTGCAAGACGGGCCCCTGCAGCAGACGTTCGTCCATTCGCATCTGATGTCAGCGGAGCTTCCAGAAGCGGTCAGCCTACACCAAACGCAGGACTACCCCACGCTTGTTCCTTGCTGTCCAGCAGAAGGGAGCCCTTCGTCGCTCTCCCCGTCAAGAGAGGGGTCCGCACTAAGAACACGCAGCTCAGGAGCTGCGAAGGCACACGGAAAGCTGCAGATATCCTTTGCCGATGAGCCCCTCCTGGCGTCCGACCCCCTCCCAGGCAGCTCATGCGCCTCCTCAACGATTTTCAATCAAGGGGAAAATTCACAGCAAGCTCCTACGTCTCCACAAGAACAATCGGAGACAGCTAAAGCGACCCCTTCGCATACAGACACCACGAACCCTAGCCCACTCCCTCCGGAGCCCAAGGCAGCCGTCGCCAACTCTACCTCTGCTGTTCTCAACCCACCGCGAGGCGACAACCCCGCCGTAGGAACGACAACAGAGCGTAAGGATTGGGCGCGCACGCACTTTAGGCGAACCGTAATCATACACCTAAAGCTACAGTAGCATCTCCGCACAACCGTGGCTAGCTGGTTAGATGGCTAACTGGGTTCTTGCCTGACTGGCTAGCCGTAGAGAAGATACCGCCGGTGCAGCCTCTACCAAGCTGATGCCTTAAGGCTGCCAAGGCCTCAGGAATGTCTGACAGCACTAAACATTGGGATAAAGCCTTTCGATTTGGCTTTGCGACTGCTTCTCATCACCATGGTATATGTGCACATACACATATATATAAATATATATATATGTATATACATACATATATATATATATATACAAGTATGCACATGTATATATATGTATATACTAATGCGAAAAATAAAATAGAGAAGGTATGCAAGCAGAAGCGCGGCGAGGCTGGACTTTCAGAAAAGCGCAGGGGGTTGTGGCAAAGCGCCGAAACGTCAGAAATTTGAACCTGCAAACGAACGGGCGAACGCGCTGCAGTGCATGCACGCGCGCTGCACCTGCATTTTCAATTGAAGTTGCACAACATATTTTCCTTCTACTGCCTTTATACCAGCTAGGCCGGCGTGGCAGCCTGGCAAGATGAATCCAATATACAGGCGATGCGTGTTCTTGCTGCAGCCGCCGCGAAGCCACAGAGGGAGTGCCCCTCGTCGGAGTCGGTTGGCAAGCCAGATGCTTTGGTTTCGGGGGTTCGGCAGCAACAGCAGCAGCAGCAGCAGGCCACGGAGAAGTGTGCCGATCCAGGGCCGCAGGAACCGAATGCTTCACCAGGCGGGGGGGTTGCCAGCCTTTCTCCCTCTCACGCTAGTTTTGTGGAGTCCCTTGTTTCGGATGGAACGGGGCAAGGGACGACACAGGAAGGGAAAGACGAGATGCAATCGCAGCAGCAGCCTGGCAGGCAGCAGGAGCAGGGGGTAAATCAGTATCAGCGAGAACAGCACCCACCAGAACAGCAGCAGGACGTCGTGCAGCAGCAGCAGGAGGAAGAGAAGCAGCAGCCGGAGCAAGAGCAGCAGCAGGATATGCAGCAAGAGCAAACGCTGAGTTCACTGACAAGAGACAACAGCTTCTGTGTCAGCCCTGAGGTGATATTTGGACAGCACGGCCCCCCCATTTGGCCAATGGTTACAGGAGGCCTCTCCTGGTGCCGCTGCCACGAGACCAAGAGTATTCCTCTTGCTCGGTTCCAGCGGCAAACCCGGGGAGAGTTTAAACAGATCGTGGAGCCCGTGGAGTGTACGAGCACCCCTCTTGTGATGTGCTCAGGCAAGTTGGCAGCCGTACATACACTGCGTTGGTGCGGCTAACTCGTCGAATTCTTGGACGCATCTGTAGTTTACTCTTTCAGTTACGCACTAAGTTCCAAAGACGATGCAAACGCAAATGCGCCGGAAGATGTTCTTCTTCTGACGGCTTTTACCATTAAGAGCTGCATGCACCCCTTAGGCCCCTTGTAGGGGCCTGTTGCGCTCATTGGTAGTTCGCTTTGGGGCAGCACAACGACTACATATTTACAGAGATTCGCTTTGCTCTATGCAGAAGCAGGGAGAGAACATTTTGCAGAAGCTTCGCAAGAACTGCTGGGAGAAGGCCTTTTAGGGCACCGCCCGCCCTCCGCAGAGACCTCAACTGCGGTGTATCTACCGCTAAAGGGATCGAAACTCGGTAGCGGGGCGCGTAAGCCTGCCAAAAAAGAAACGCGACCAACATCAGAAGCCACGTGCAAGACTTTGAATGATCTGCGCATTAGAAACCAGGTGCTGGAGAACCAGGTGGGCCTCATGAACATAAATAAGCACCCAGGAACAGCAGCACGGCTCTGCAAATCATGTATTGCATCGGTTGTCACTTAGTTGCCTGGTAGTACAAGTATTCCTGCAATCTGAGGCTCTTCTGCCTTTGGATGTTCAGGTTCTTGGCCTCTCCGTCGCGCTTCGGCAGGCCCACGAGAGGCTGAACACGCTGACACGAGTTTGCGACAAACTCAGCAACGGAGTGCCGGCACCAAAATGATGTGGCTGCATGCTGCAGACAGATTCAAGGAACGTCCGTTTCTCCTCGATGTGCGTGTAGCTGACGTTGCAGAACAAAGCGGCAAAACTCGTGCCGTTCCCGTAGTCGTTTCGTTTGGTTCAAACGAAGGGTTATTGATGAAGAAAATCACCAATTATCCACTTCATCTTAAGTAACAACAACTGAAGGCGCCGATGGAGACGAGACGCCTCTCCATATACACGGATATATGAATATGGATATACATATATATATATAGTGCATAGTATTTACATGGTATTTACATGTGCATAAGCCGGCGGAAAGAACTGCTTGAATGTTCACTCTTTCGCAGACTCTTAAGATCGGCGACAAAATACAAATGTCAGCGCTAACTGTTACGCATACACCAACTATCGCCTTTGCGTCTACACACAGTGTTTTTCTTGCATTTCGTTGTAGCGCTACACGAAACAGTCAATGTCCTGCAAACGTTTCCGAGTAGCCAGTGGTGCGTACACTGCCTGTTCCTCTAACAACGGGCAGCTCCTTAATGTAGCAGATTCACGAAGCGAACGTAGTTCACTGAGCTTGTAATTCCAGAAGTTTGGTTCAACAGGTGTCTGTACACCTGAGCAGCAGGCGCCGAAAATACTGCCTTGACTAGGCAGAAAAAAAACAAGAAACACTGAACCGGTGGCCGTTGCCTTTTTCTACTGCAATAAATACAGTTTCGTTTTGGTAGCAAAAGATTCTTTTGTATGAACTGCAGCGCCGATTCCCGTCTGCTTTCAGTTGTTGCACCGGAAAGCTGAAAATGGAGGGAGCGAGTGATGCACAGAGATGGGCTGAAGAGGTAACAAATTGTTCTTCATGAAATATTTTTCGCATTCATGAAAAATTTCAACTTGAAATCAGAAACGCGCATTTCAAAGTAGGCGAGCAGCAAATGAACAACAACTGACGAGCTCATAACACCCGTTCAGTCGCTCTGCACAGGGTTTCAGTGACTGCGTTGGTGGCTTTAAGTCGCATATCTCTTTTGCCACCGTCGGCCAACTCCCCAGGAAGAATACCTCCCAGCCCGTATGCGTTAGCGTATTTCCCCCGAAAGGTGTCACTTAGCTCCCTCTAACTCTGTTGCAAAGCAGAACCTCAAGCGGAGATTCGTCGCAGGAGTCACTTGCTGCCGCTGCGTTAACGCCCTCACCAGCCGCTGCAGCAGCAGAAACTCCAGCAGCCGCCTCTGCAGCCACAGCAGCAGCCATTGCAGCAGCAGCCACTGCAGCTAACGCCAGTTACTATTCCTTCCGCCGAAAGCGCCAGATCTCTTCGTTTACTTTAGAGGAGGACGAAGACAGCACCAATGCAGCTTCAAGGCGCTGTCCTGCCCAGCGGCAGCACACCAGCCCCATACAGCCGATGAGTCCAGCAGATCCTTCGCTTTCTGATTCCCTGCCTCCTCCTGATGTAACAGGAAACAGGTCCGCTGCTGCAGCAGCTGAGGCCCCTCGAAGCGGCCTTCACGGGATTCTTGTGGTGAGGGTTCATGTGTTGAATACTGAGCTGCAGCGCGCATGCATGCACCACGGACACTTCAGGTCCCCGGCTGTAACTGCAACTTGTGCCGCTGGGCAACGCAAGTCAACTACTTAACAGCAGGCAACATCTTCCACCCCCTCTGTTCAACAACAACACCAATAGGCTGGCTAGCCAATGGGCTAGCAAGCAGGCCAGCAGCCGGTCCCCTCAGCTAGCCATTCACGTTGCTGCTGTCCGTGCACTACGAAACTTCGCCATTTAAAAACTCCACAAACTGCTCAGAGAGGCCGCCGCTCTGCGAAACAAAGGCAGAAAGGAATTCATAAAGCAATAACCAGATGCAAACAGACGCACAAGAATCTGTGCCAAACGCATGCACCCTTCACAGCATTCGCATTCATGCAGATATACGTACGTTCAGCTGCTAAACGGATTCCTCTCCATAAACACAGCTAAGAATGTGCAAACGCTAACGCTAGTTCGTCTTAAACGCCACTTGTTGCATATAGGTACGTGCATGCGTGCGTCGATGCTTGCATGCAACGGCAGACAGGAATGCAAGTCCCACTGTTCCCCTGAATACACATTCCTCTAGACTCCACGAGTATATAGTTATGTATATATATACACACACACAGATGCACAGCAGCAGGCAATCAGCAAGAAACAGCCTTATTGTGCTTCCCTAAATGCAGTGAACTGCGATGCAAAAGAGCAGTCGTTTGCCTTCACCTCTTTTCCTCTTTCGCTCTGTTTGCGCGGAAGGCCATAGCGCTCCCTCTCTTCGTCAGAAAACCCCAGCACGTCACAAATCAACAAAAATATTTCGTCGCGGCGTTTTATGTTGCCCTGCACAGTACATACACCCCGTGAACATCGGCTCTTGCCTCGGCTCCTGCACGCCCTGTCAGGGTTTGCATGCACCGCGTTGGCTGCCAAAGCATTCAGAAAAATGAATTTGTACTACTCAATCACTGTACTGAATAGTCGCTTCATCCATACACTGCTACGAGCGAATGTGTTACTGTTGACTGGCAAGCTGCCATAAACGAGGACGCAAGAGCTATAAAAGAAATGCTGGTGCGAACGACTACAGACTGTGCCTCACTCAAGGAGGCATAACAATGCACGTACAAAGACACACACACTTGGGTGTACAGACAACTCACGTGCATTTCCTGGTGTTTGGCAATCATTTGCGCAACAATTCGCTTGTCCACAAAATAGTCCTGATCGTCGACTTGTGCGTGCAGCTTTTGCAGAAGCTTTTGCATGCCTTCCCTGATAACATAAAGGGCCAAGCCACCTAACCCCGAATTTCAACATAAAATGTTTAAGAAACCCTCTAAACTCTCAAACCGCCAAACCCCAACTTCCAAAGTCTGCCAATGGTGTCTCAATTATCTATTGCCCTTGAGCTGCTCACGAGATGGTCTTGTTGTCTTCTTCAAGTTTTTTTGCTGTTGCTGCTGCCTGATTGCGTTGCTGCTCAGCCTCTGCTAGCTGTTTCTCTAGGTCTTCGATTTTCGTCTTGAGAGTTTCGTTCTGTAAGAGAGTCAAAGCAGTACAGTTGAAGGCATTCACTGCTTGTTTCTTCCGGTGTCTGTACACATACTGCGAGCCACGAGGGAGAGGGAATTGCGGGGTGCACTTGCCGCTCCAATGTCACTTTTCATCGCCTGCATTTCATTCTGCGTGTTGGTCAGTTCGGTGCGCAGTCGATTAACGGTCGCATCGCAGTCTGTCTGTACACCACAGTACAGCACGAGGTATAACCCTGTGCGCGTTGCGTTCCAAGAAGGAGAGACCAACTTATAATATGTACTACATATACTATTATATATAAGTATTAATAAGACTCAAACGATCGCCAACAGCCAAACCCCGCCATCGCTAGAAGTGAAACAACAAATCATTTTCCTCGTGCAGCTAAACCTTAACCCCTAAACGGTAAACCCTAAACGGCGGTGGACGGACCTGAACTCTCTTCAAGGCACGTGCGTATTTTTCCACAGCCATTTTTGTCTCGCGGAGTTCTTTTTCCATTTCATCTCTTTCGGAATGAGCTTTGATCAATTCAACTTCTGATATTTATATTCAGCAAACACAACCCCGCCCCTCCCCCTCCCCAGCAAACAACACGAAAATTAAACTTCTTGTTCTTCCTTAATTGCATTGCTAACCCTTCTGGCCTGCAAACTGTGGACCCTAACTAAGGACTGTTGCAGCATTGCGCTGGTTTATTTCATCTGCTGTCTCAATGTGCACACTTAAATGCTTTGTGCGTATCTAGCCTTTTTTTCGGGGTGTATAGACACCTGAGAGGCTCTGAATTTCGCGTATTTCCTCCAGCCTTCCAGTTTCTCGCTTCACCGTCTCCAGTTCTTTCTCAAGTGCATGAACCCTCTGTATTTCATCCAAGGCAAATACACAACAACGGGCAGTTTAAAACGAATTGCTGCTGTATAAGCAACGGCGACAGCATCTGCATGCATGCTCGTCTGAACCCAGGATCCCCAGAGGTTGCTTTGCTCGAGTGTACGTACTGCTGCCTCTCCCCTAAGATCTGCTAACTCTCCCAAGGCTTCTTGCAGAGCGCGGGAAACTGCAGCATGCGATGCCTGAGAGGAGGTAGACACACGAGAGAAGGCAATTCAGTCACTAGAGATACCGACAAAAAGAAACAAAACAAACAAGCTATCTGGTGCCCCTCGCTTTCAGGCGAACTGCGTTGGCAGCAACATAAGCACGAAGAGCGGCGGTGCGTCTGCCTTTCTTTGCTGTGCAATACAGGCAGATAAAAGCATAACTGTGGTGGTGCGCAGACGCATGCGAGGGCTTTGAACGCGAAACAACAACCCACGAAAGCTCTCTACCTCATAGCCCTAAACCCTAAACCCTAAACCCTGAACCCCTGCAGCAGCTACCTGCCACGAGCGGAGTTGAAGAAGAAGATCCTTATTCTCCCCTGTCAGTTCTTCTGAGGCATCCTGCACATTGCCGCTCTGTCGCTTTTCGTAGTTGGCCAGCAGCTCCTTGTAGAGGCGCCTGGTAAACAAAAACCAGGAGCCGCATGCAACCCCAAACCCTAAACCCTAGACCCTAGTTCTCAGAAGCAGCGCAGCACAGGACTCTGTGGGCCCTCCGCTCAATATAGATTCACTAATGTTACGCCACAACCCCTGAATGCCTTTGAAAACAGCAGCAGCAAGACAGACAAATGACTCGTCTAGAGTTTAGGGTTTAGGGTTTAGGGTTTGAACTTGAACCTTGAACGGACCTGACGGTTTCGAGTTGTTCTGTGGCCCTTCCCAGCTGCTCCTTGAGTCCTTCTGTCTCTTCGCTGCCTGCCTGAGAGATGAAAGAAAGGAGGTGTACGTACACTGCACTTCTGCTGTTCCGCTGCACTTTGCCAATTCTGGAGTTTCGCTGGGCTTATGTTTTAATTTCAACAGCAAAAAGAGGGTTTATTCGATTTGAGTTGGCTCTGAGTATGTGGGGGTTTCAGGTGGAGGCAGGCACTGAGGTGTATGTCCAGCTACGGCGTACATGTTTCGCTCTCTCGCGTTCTGCTTCTCGTTGCTCTTCAATTCTTTCTTGTGCGTCTTTTAAGTCTTCTGTCAACTCCAAAACACGGCGGTGCAGCGCTGCTGTCTGGTGCTGCAGCTGCAGCCTCTTTGCTACTTCTTGTCTCAGCCTCCTTTCTGCTTCTGAGACCTCTACAGGGTCAGGCGGCCCCTCCCCATTGCTGCCAACTTCGTCGCTTGCCCGCGGTGTCGCTACAGCCGAACCCCCACGAGAATGAGGGGCCCCCATGGGGGGCCCCCCAGCCTCAGTTAGACTCCCTGCTGCAACCGATAGGGCCCCAGCGCACTGCACGAGTTTCTTCGCCGTCTCTATGCAGCCCACGAGAGCGAGGGTTTGCTGATTGATTTCTGCGAGGGCCCCCCAGGGGGCCCCAGGGGCCCCCTCTACTGAACCCTCTGCTGTTAAGCTGGGGCTGTGCAGCCAGCGGCGCAGCTCAGCAGGCAGAGTTCGAACCAAAGGACGAGCAAGCAGAGTCTGGAAAGTGGCGGATCCTGTAGGCACACCCCCGTGTTCCTCTAAACCCTAAACCCTAAACCCTAAATCCTAGAACCTCTGTACAGGACGTTTGGTGCTGAACACACGTTCAGGATTAGCAGTTCAAGCTGTTTCGGCACATGAAAATCCGTCCCTTCTTTAAGGGTTTAGGGTTTGGCTGCAAAGGTTGAGGGTTTAGGGTTTTGTTAGTATACCTTTTGTATGTTCCCATTCGACATTGATGAACTCCGCCATTTTTACTGTTCTCTCGAGGCTGCTGCAGAGCTCTTCATAGACATCCCAGGGATCAGTTCCTGGGGTAGCTAGCTGACTAGCTAGCTGGCTAGCTGGCACCCGCAAGGCCTGCGCTAGCCGCTGGAGAGGCTGAGACAAGTCTTCGAACTGCGCAGCGCCAAGGTTGCTGCTCTCCCTACTTGACCCTGCTGCTGCTGCTGCTGCTGCACCTGAAGCGTTGCCCGTGTCCTCTGACTGCTGCTGCTGCTGCTGCTGCTGCTGCTGAGTAGCCAGACGCGAACGCAGCTGGCGGCACTCCTTACGAAGGCTGGCGAGCTGCTGGGCATACTTGGCCGTCTCAGACTCTGCAAAAAAACCCTGAACCCTAAACCCTAAACCCTAAATGTTAAGCGCTAATGACATTTCGCTTTAGTTCAAGGGAGGAGGAGGAGCTCAAGAGGCGATAAGGGGTTTTGTGCGTTGAGGTGTATATACACCTGACTCCATGCACCTTGTCAAGTTCTTCTTGAAGTGTATACATTTGTATTTTCGTTCTTGAGGTGTATATGCAGCTAATTGAGAGGTCTTTGCTACTCATGAAGGTATATTTAGTTGTACTAATTTTGCTTTTTATCTTTTCTCTTTTGTTAGTTAGTTAGTTTGTTCGTTTGTTTGTTTTGTTTCGCTTGTTTTGGGGGGCCCACCTGATAGCTCCAGCTGGCGTGCTATAGCCTCCTGCTGCTGCTGCTGCTGCTGCAGCAGCAAGGGTAAATCCCTCTCAGCAGGCAGCCGCCTCCCTGCTGCTGCCTCTGCCACTTGCTGCTCCTCGTCTTCTTCTTCATCGTCATCTTCCGACAGCAGAACCTGCAGCACGCGCAAACCCTAAACCCTGAACTCTAAACCCTAAACCCTCGCCCACATTGCAGGCCCTTGGGCGTAAAACCCAGCGAGCCGAAGCCACAATTCCAAACCCTAAACCCTTAACACTAAACCCCCAGCAAGCAAACTATGCACTTCCTTGTCGTGGGTACATACACCGGAATTCATTACCAAGGGTTTAGGGTTTAGGGTTTGAACGCACCGCATTGATTTCGTTGACGGCCCCGCGGATAGCGCACCAGGCATTCTGCATCCTCCAAAGGACCTAGCAGCAACTTGAACCCCAAACCCTAAACCCTAAACCCTAAACCCTTGAAACTGCCCAATATTGGCCGCTAGCGCCGGTGGTCCCAAGACGAGCGTTTAGGGTTTAGAGAGCAACTGAGGCCCGGAAAGAAGAGACAGCTCAAATATAAAATAAAAAGGAGACAGTTTATAATAAAACAAATTCAATATTCTTGTTCTTTGAACCAGTAGTTGTTTTCCTGCAAGGGTTCTTTAGGGGGCCCCCAGGGGGGCCCCCTTAACAGGGGGCCCCCCTGAGGTCTTGTTATGATCTTTATTTTTTCTGCTTCTTCTTTAGTGTTGTAGTGTCTGTACGTCTATATAAGGATATTTTTCTTTGTAAGATGCATTTGCTGCTCAATCTCTATTAATATTTATTAACTGCTGTCTCATGCGGCCATAAGCTCTTTCTTTTGCAGCACTGTACAGCCTTTCTATGTAGATACGCAGCAGCAGCTGCAGTAGCAGCTGCTGCTGTTGCTGCGTGTCTTACATTATACATGTAATATATAGTTTACACATATATATATATATATGTATAGTGGGTGCAATAAAAATATACTTCATACAATACGTCAATACTGAAGTGTACATGCATGCAATATATTATATATATAATACACATATACTTTATTAACTCCCTCCACACTAATTATAATATATATACCTAATCAATAGCCTCAGCATCCGAGCTGTACTCTAACGACGCCTGACCCTTGGCGCTGTCTCCTAACAAGGAGACAGAGCCGGAGGCGAGCTGCAGGTAGCAGCTGCAGCTAGCTGCAGCTACTAACTGCTGCAGTTACGTGTTGCAAGCTGTTCTGTCTGCCTGTCTCCTCCTTTTTCTGTCTGTCTCCTTTTGTGTGTCTGTCCCCTTTCGTTCCTGTCCGTCTCCTTTTGTGTGTCTGTCTCCTTTTGTGTGTCTGTCTCCTTTTGTGTGCATAGCGAACAAACAGTTGCATGGAGTCTCCTTTGGGCTCCCTTTTTGTTTGTCTTTGTGAGACGGCACCTCAACCTTTCTCGCCCGAGGCCCCCTCCTAACCCCAGGTGTATATCCAGCTCAACTTTAAGAAGAATACACAGCATAAAAGGTTTATTAATGCCCTAACTACAACCTTTCTTTATGACATACATACGGGGCGCCTCCACCCACACGGGCGGATACCTTTGGGGGCCCCCCGGGGCCCCCATGGGGGCCCCCCTCCCTTCGGGGCAAACCGTAATGTAGGGGGGCCCTCCAGCAACCGGGGGAGCGCCTCTTCTTGCGATGCAAAACAGTACTTCCTGGGGGCCCTTCATCGCTGGGGGGCCCCTCAGGGCTTTTGCGGGCCTGCGGGGCCTCTGGAAGACGTGGGGGCCCCTAGGGGCCCCTCGAGGGCACCCAAGAAGGGCCTCTGGGGGGCCCCCAAGGGCCTCAGGGGGGCCCCTAAGGCATCCTGGGGGCCCCAATGGGCCCTTCAACGGCCCCAAGGGCCCTAAGGGGCATTGGGGGAGAGGGGAGGGGAGGGAGAGGAGGGAGGGAGGGGCCCTATGTGCCTCTTGGGGGCCCCTAGGGGCCTCTGGGGGCCCCTAGGCGCCTCTGGGGGCCCCTAAGGCTTTCTCCCAGATAAACCTTTACTGAAGGCATTGGCGCCAGCCTTATGTACGTTCCTCTGAAACGAACTCAAGGCAGCAAAGCCCTTCCTTCTTCGTGCTGCACAAGCAGCAGCAGCAGCAGCTACCCCTGCTGCTGCTGCTGCTGCTGCTGCTGCCGCAGCCGCTGCTGCTTCTGCTTGTACTGTGCAAAAACGGGGGGGAGTAGAGACATAAGAGAGCGCCACAGAGCCTCTTCGTTCTTCTATTAGCTGCCCCCCTTCTACTGAAGCTGCCCAAGCTGCTGCACGTTGTGGTGCTGCATCATCTCCTCCTCCTCTTCTGCTGCCGCTGCTGCTGCTGCTACTGCTGCTGCTGCTGCTACTGCTGCTGCTGCTGCTGCTGCTACTGCTGCTGCTAGGCGTGCTCGTTGGCCTGCCGCACTGCCAGCCTACAGCGGCGCGAGAGCTCTTCCCAATCAACCTCAGGGAACTTCTCCCTCAGCTGTTCTCCCTGAAGATGAAGGGAGAGGAGACAGCACAGAGAAAGGAGACACCAAAGGAGACAGAGATAAAAATAGACGAATAAACAGGCACAAAGATAATGAAACAAAGACAAAAGGAGACACTTGCAATATAAAGAAAAACCATGCCTCCATCCATACGCCGTAGACGGAAACAAAAGAGACAGCTACAGACATGCAGAGAAAACAAAAAAAAACAGAGACAGAGAGACGGGAGACAGAGAGGGAGGAGACAGAGGGTGAGGAGACAGAGGGTGAGGAGACAGAGGGTGAGGAGACAGAGGGTGAGGAGACAGAAAGAGACAGAGAAAGGAGACAGAAACAGACAGAAATGTGCATAAAAAACAAACATCCAAGCAGGTCAGGCAAAAGAGACAGAGGCAGAGGGACAGAGACACAGAGAGAGAGACAATAGAGAGAGGAGAGAAGAGACAGGAGACAGAAGAGAAGAGACAGCAGACAGTAGGGAGGAGACACCAGAGTGGAGACAGTAGACAGTGGATAGTATACAGGAGACAGTAGAGAGGAGACAGGAGACACTAGAACGGAGACAGTAGAAAGAGTAGACAGTGGAGAGTTGGCAGTAGAAAGTAAACAGGAGACAGTAGAGAGAGGAGACAGACGAGAGAGAAGAGCGGAGACAGTAGAGAGATGGGCGAGGAGACAGTAGAGTAGATGCAGTACAGCAGAGAGGAGACAATAGAGAGAATACAGCAGAGAGGAGACAATAGAGAGAATACACCAGAGAGGAGACAGCATAGACAGCAGAGAGGAGACAGCATGGACAGTAGAGAGTAGAAAGGAGACAGCAGAGAGGAGACAGCATAGACAGTAGAGAGCAGAAAGAAGACAGCAGAGAGGAGACAGCATAGACAGTAGAGAGTAGAAAGGAGACAGCAGAGAGGAGACAGCATAGACAGTAGAGAGTAGAAAGGAGACAGCAGAGAGGAGACAGCATAGA